TTACCTGAGCCCACCCCACATGCACCCCAGCCCCCCTGCCAGCCCCCCATGCTGGCACACCCCCTGGCCCCGAGTCCTTAGCAGGCAGCTCACCCTTGCCCCACACACAAATCCAGGGGGCACATGCCCCCCATGCCTCTCCCAGGAGTGTACACAGTAGCTGGGAGCACCCCCCCTGGACAAGCCTCCCACAGCTCTGTCCCACTCCCCGCTCCAGGGTCCTATTCACTGCCTGGGCTGAACAGCACCTGCCTCTACCCCCTCCTTCACTATGGAGGCCTCGATCTGCACCCCCACTCCCATTAGACTTACATGCAGGGAGCTGGCTGCCCAGCTGTGCTCCTGGACACACGTTTAAATTTTGCAGGCTCCCCCATGCTCCCCTGCTGCTGATTGATGGAGGGGCACGCTTGTAGTTCGCTCCTTGGCAGGGAAGCAAAAGCTAAGGTTTTAAACTCAGTGTAATTTTTGTTTCCCTGCTGCTGATTGGCTGAGGGGCCCCAGCAGCTGCTTGCTGCCCACCAGCTGAGACACAAAAATGGTGTCAGGTTTAAAAACCACAGCTTTCACTTCCCTGCTGATGAGGGAGCACTTGTAAGCCACAAGTGCAGCCCCCAATTGCCAAGGGCCCCTGGGCTCAGGTCTGCCTTAATCCACCAGCTGGCAATTAATCCGCCTATGCCTGGTGCAGTTGTTTGCAGCCGCCCACAGCCAACCCAGGCTCTGGGCATCTGTAGCAGGCAACCAGCAGGCTGCAAACAGCTGCACCAGGCTCTGGAGTTCCGGCACCATGCATATCAGGGCACAGGGTGGGGAAGGGGCCAGGGCAGTGTCCCCCTCTCACCATCCAACCAGAGGCACACACGCAGCTGCCACCTGCAATGATGATTGGGCACCTCATGGCTCCCCTGTGGTCTGCCCCTGCCATGCCAAGTGAAGGCATCAGTCAGGACTGTGGTGTTTTTTTCACTCCAGCCAAAAATATTCCCAACCCCTGTTCTAGTAGGTGGTGCCAACTAGTCTACCCCCCATTCCCCACAGCTCTGCCCCAGAGTTCACCCCCAGTCATGGTTTTGGCTCACTGATATTCACAAACAAGAGAACATAGAATGCGAACCCTGCTGCACCCTCACTGAGCTGGGCCCCCGAGTCACTTAAGTCACCTCAAGACCCATCAATGAGCCATAGCAGAGATCATCTTTGATTGCAACAATGCACTTCTGAGGAGGAAAATAAAGGGGGCCCTTCCTTTCCCTATATTATGATTCCTTCTTTTTTAAGCTTTTATTGAACAAGGACCTTGGTACTGGGTAATTTTGGGTGGCTCCTGGAGCTCCTAACGCCTGCATTGGCTACACATTAACCCCCCAAAACTGGTTTTAAGCACTTCCTGTGTGGCTCAAAGCCTCTCTAGGCTACACCTTAGTGTAAATAATGCTCCCTCCCCTGCATCAAGCCCATTGCCCGCCCCACACCTTCCCAGATCTCCATTCACTGCCCCCTTCTTACTTGTGGCTGCCCATGGTGGCTCTCCCAGGGGAACAGGCAGAGGAGGATTAATCTTGCCATTGTCTGGGCCAGATTCGGCCTGGAGAAGAGCAGCAGGGCCTGGGGACTGGGCAGCATGTTAACTCTTCCCTGCCTGCTCCCCCCGGGGCAGACACCTGCGAAACTACAAGAGTGGGGAGCTTGCGATGGAGGTAGGGCAGATTCCTGCCTTTCAGTCCCCCAGGCCCCTGCTGGCCTGAAGCAGGACTGCTCCACATTTGAACTAGCACTAATGCCTATGGCCAGGTGTGCGGCTCACAAAGTAACATATAACAGGCCCCAAGGTTCCTATTCCCATGTCTGATCTGAAGTCCATGGTGTGCTGACATGTTCCAAACAACAGTCCCTTGGGGAGGGGAAGTCACTGCCAGTACCAACTGACTCAAAGAGCTCATCCCCTGTGGTCTGCCCCTGCCATGCCAAGTGAAGGCATCAGTCAGGACTGTGGTGTTTTTTTCACTCCAGCCAAAAATATTCCCAACCCCTGTTCTAGTAGGTGGTGCCAACTAGTCTACCCCCCATTCCCCACAGCTCTGCCCCAGAGTTCACCCCCAGTCATGGTTTTGGCTCACTGATATTCACAAACAAGAGAACATAGAATGCGAACCCTGCTGCACCCTCACTGAGCTGGGCCCCCGAGTCACTTAAGTCACCTCAAGACCCATCAATGAGCCATAGCAGAGATCATCTTTGATTGCAACAATGCACTTCTGAGGAGGAAAATAAAGGGGGCCCTTCCTTTCCCTATATTATGATTCCTTCTTTTTTAAGCTTTTATTGAACAAGGACCTTGGTACTGGGTAATTTTGGGTGGCTCCTGGAGCTCCTAACGCCTGCATTGGCTACACATTAACCCCCCAAAACTGGTTTTAAGCACTTCCTGTGTGGCTCAAAGCCTCTCTAGGCTACACCTTAGTGTAAATAATGCTCCCTCCCCTGCATCAAGCCCATTGCCCGCCCCACACCTTCCCAGATCTCCATTCACTGCCCCCTTCTTACTTGTGGCTGCCCATGGTGGCTCTCCCAGGGGAACAGGCAGAGGAGGATTAATCTTGCCATTGTCTGGGCCAGATTCGGCCTGGAGAAGAGCAGCAGGGCCTGGGGACTGGGCAGCATGTTAACTCTTCCCTGCCTGCTCCCCCCGGGGCAGACACCTGCGAAACTACAAGAGTGGGGAGCTTGCGATGGAGGTAGGGCAGATTCCTGCCTTTCAGTCCCCCAGGCCCCTGCTGGCCTGAAGCAGGACTGCTCCACATTTGAACTAGCACTAATGCCTATGGCCAGGTGTGCGGCTCACAAAGTAACATATAACAGGCCCCAAGGTTCCTATTCCCATGTCTGATCTGAAGTCCATGGTGTGCTGACATGTTCCAAACAACAGTCCCTTGGGGAGGGGAAGTCACTGCCAGTACCAACTGACTCAAAGAGCTCATTAACAAAATACCTGGCCTTCAGCTGGGAGTCTGCTTCCCTTCTCCACCAGAGCATGAGGCGAGGGAGAAGAAAGGGCCCTGCTCTCTGCTCTGAGAAAAGCTGGTGAGAAAGCAGCTCAGGAGAGTGCGGTACTAATAACACCAAGGTTGTAGGTTCGATCCCTGGTTGGCTAAAATTGGGGGGGGGGTTTGCAGATCCCTATAAAGTTTTGAATGGAGGTACGGACCCCTCTGAATCGTAAGTGTGGATATTCACGTACTGTTGATTGATCACATTCATAAAATCATAGAAAACTAGGGCTGGAAGGGACCTCAGGAGGTCTAGTCCAACCCCCTGCTCCAAGCAGCACCAGCCCCAACTAGATCATCCCAGCCAAAACTTTGTCTAGCCAGGTCTTGAAAACCTCCAAGGATGGAGATCCCGCCACCTCTCCGGGGAACCTGTTCCAGTGCTTCACAACCCTCCTAGTGAGAAAATTCTTCCTAATATCCAACCTAAACTTCCCTTGCTGCATCTTGAGACCGCTGCTCAGGGGTGGGCAAAATGCGGCCCATGGGCTGGATGCGGCCTGCCAGGCCCTTCTACCTGGCCCACGGGGCCCCTAAAAATTTTTAAAAATTAATATTTATCTGCCCCTGGCTGCCTGTCCTGTGGTGCTCAATGGCTTGCCAAAACTCAATATGCGAACCCCTGCCTGAAATAATTGCCTGCCCCTGCCATTGCTCCTTGTTGTCTTGCGCCACCACTAGGAACAGCCCAGCTCCATTCTTTTTCAAACACCCCTTCAGGTACTTGAAGGCTGGTATTAAATCTCTTCTTTTCTAGAGAAAATAAGCCCAGTTCCCTCAGCCTCTCCTCACAAGTCCTGTCGCCCAGCTGCA